CATACATACAAATATATACATATATTCATACATACAAATATATACATATATTCATACATACATATAGATACATATATTCATACATACATACATACATACATATATATTCATACATACGTACATATATATACATACATACATACATACATATACATACATACATACATATATATATATACATATATACATACATACATGTCATACATACATACAATCAGATCACCAGCAACATGTGATTTTTCAGTGATTATCCTGGTTAGATATTCATAAGGCTGCACAAACTCAAGTTCATGTTGCTGTTTGACGTATTGTTTTGATTGTTTAATGCTGTTAGTGCTTAGTGTATTATTACTAGATGTTTTTTAGTTGATATTTTTCTTAATTCATATCATAGATCTTATTACTGTTTTTCATTTACATTTTATTGTTGTCTGTAACTGGGACCCTATGTACATATTTCATCCCACCACATGTTCAACATGTGGTGCATTTTCAGTATTTATTCAACATTTTATTTTTTTACTTTAAAAATAAAATAAGTCAAGTCCTTATCGGCACAAATAAAGTGATGTGGAACATGTTGCATCTGTTCTTACCGAGCACAGAAGCTGCAGCGTTGTGCTGCTCTGTGAGGTGCAGCTGGGCTGCGATGGAGCTCTGGCAGGTGCAGACTCCGCTGATGGAGCAGGAGCAGAAGACGGGAGGCTTGGAGGGTTTAATGTGGAGTTTAGAGACGAACCGTCATGTGCTGAAATACGTTCTGGATAAAATACAATGAGAAACAGGACCGGGGGACAGTTAGCGTTTATGCAAATTAGCTTAGCATCGTAGCACCGATGTTGTCCTATTATGGCATCAGTTTCTTTTGTTAGTTAAAAATATGTTCAGAACCGATGCGATGAGTAACTTAAAATATGTTTAAAGTTAGAAAACACTCACCATCTTCTATAAATGATTCAAGTAGAGCAGTAACCGTGTCCAAACCACCCTCCAATCCTCCATCTAGATCGCTTTGACTTTTTCGTCGGCCACCAAGCACAACAACACCTGCACTTCTGCATTTGACCACGGCTTTGATATTACTGTTTTTTTTTAATATCTTCAAAATACTAAAAGATACGCTCCTTGAGTTATCGCTAATAGCAGGTGGTAGAGAAAAATAGCGGATCGGGTTGTTTGGACAGACTCCACAGACTCCTCCCCCCGACCAATCAGTGATCGACAATGTTTCTGACATCACGGCTCAGCTCGCTTGAACCCCTTGAGAAGCCGGGCCAGAATTCTGGGAGGTGAGCCGGTCCCAAGAACCATGGAAAAGACCACAAACACGCGTCAAGCCGGAAATATTCGACCCGCGCCGTGACAGTGAGGGGCATTAGATGGCAGCCCTCTGCTGCACGTGTGTGTGCTCACATGTGCAATGGGAAAAATGCAGTTAATTAATTTCTCCATTGGGGACTAATAGAGTACTAAAAAAAATAATATTTACATTATGCTGGTGCATTTTTTTCTACAGATCAGCTATTGAAATATAAGATTTTCTTTTCAGTGATGTGAATAAAACGAGTCAACTCTTATTTAGTCTACAGGTGACTACGTCTCACCTCGCCCTCTGCAGGAGCTCCCAGTGGGCCGGACCTGTCGTCATGTTGAAGGCTCCGGGGTAAACCAGCAGCTGGCAGCCTGAGGACAAGAAGGACATCGACGGTCATCTGTCCTGTACAGCAGTATGACCGACACCACCACGGACTCTGGCTTCTCACCTTTCCTGCTGTAGAGCTGAGCGAGCTCTGCAAATCGCATGTCGTAGCAGATCCCCACCCCCACTTTACAGAATGCTGTAGGAGCACCAGAAGGAAGAGAACGGGATCAAAATAAACAGCTTGTCCACACCACCAGACACAGACGAGGAGCCTTAAACTGTCCCTCACGTGTGTCAAACATCGACAGACTGCTCCCTGGGCTCAGTGTCTCAGACTCCTGAAAGTGGATCTTTCCTGGAACATTGATGTCAAACAGGTGAATCTTTAAGAAAATAAATAAATACATAAACAGAACTTTATGAACATTTAGTGCCTCTGATATTGATCCAGCTGTAATGTTGGTTACTGCAGGTGATGTACACACCTTTCTGTGTTTAAGAATGATCTCTCCATCAGGGTCGAACACTGCACAGCTGTTATACAACTTCCCACAGTCCTCTTCAGGGATGGATCCTGTGGAACAATACCCAACCATAAATGTTGTTGCATGTTCATTTTTTTTAGACTTCAGTACAGACACCTTTTATTCTCCAGACATGGCTCATTTATTAGCACCAGGTGGGGTCAGAACCAAACAGTTACTGTTTATAAACTTTTGTCAGTGTTTCACATTTGAAACACTGGAAGTGTTTCAAATAAGGAAGGTAGAGGTGACAAAAAGGCCTTTTCATAAATAAATTGAACAATTACAAATACAAAACAGGTTGAGTAGAGTAAGTAAAGACAGTAGCACAGTGAAAATTGTGGTCAGTTTGTCCTCCAGCAGTCTAAATCTATAGTAGCATAACTAAGGGACAGCTCAGGAAACCCAAGCCGACCCTAACTATAGGATTTAGCAAAAAGGAAAGTTTTAAGCCTAGTATCCTGATGCATGCTCAATAATCCAGGTAGAAAAATCTAAAAAAAAGTTAAATCTGGTCCTCTGGACATTCAAAAAAGCAAAACAACAAAAAAATGTAGAAACGTTTCGTCTCTCATCCGAGAGACTTCCTCAGTCTGAGGTGCTGTATTCAGCTCAGTCTCTTAAATAGCGCCTTCTCAGAGTGGATCAACCAGTTTTGCTGCTGACAACCAAAACCAGCTGATCACATGCTCAAGAAGG